CTTCTCATTAAAAAAATTGCCCTTCTACTATCACATAATTTAGTGTAAAAATTGCAACCAGCTCTAACTGGAAATAGTGTTCTCACAGCTCTCCTGGTCTGTATTTTACTAACCTCTAGGTTATGGAGCAGTTCCTGCCCTCCTTCCACAACAAACCCTCAGTTACCATCGCTGGTGTTTTCTCATGGGAATTTCACCACAGTGGGATGGTTCAGCACCCCTCTCCAGGAGCCCCAGCTTGCAGCACTGAACCTGTGTGAGGTGTTGTCCTCCCACGCTGCTGAACAAACAGCAAATCACCACTGTGACCCCACTGCAGGAGCCAGACACCATCAGACACCAGCCAGCAACTCAAACCCTTTCTGAGCCACTCAGCTCAAGCACCAGGTATCCAACATTTATCCTTGACATGGGATTTCTCTTAAGAACCTTCTCTAGGGTCCTGTTAGCCCTTGCCTTCCAGAGTTTCCCAAAATCAAAAGGAACCAGCATTTATCAGACCTAAGCCAGGCAGCAGCCATAACAGGTCCAAAGAGATTTCAGACTTGTTGCATATTCTCTTTAACAACCACCATTTCTTTAAAGACACTTTTTCTTCATTCTTCTCAGGCACATTTTTCTGATAGGCAGAAAGTCAACTTAAGGCCTGTGTTTTGTTAAAACCTCACTCGTGCTATCAGGATGAACACTATTATGTAGAGTGACAAACACTTTGGTACTCCCACACCTCTATGATTAAGTCATTACTCAAGTGTTTTGCAGCCATGATAAAAATCTAAGAATTAAAATATTAACACCTCTCCCAAAACCAAAATTAAAAGTGTGTTATCTGATAGGCTAAAGAATTGGTGTGGATTTCTGTTTTTAAAAGCAATGTTCAATGAATAAAATACATGACAATAAAACCATCACATTCACAAAATACTAGTGTTGGGGATGTGCTTAAGGATTGGGCTGTAACCAAGGCAACCCAATCTCCTGGAGAAAGTTTAAGTAGAGAGTTTTAAAGCCATTGCTCAAAGACACAGTAAATCTGGCTGTAGGGCTACTTGTGACATATGGAAGATGCCACAACCACCCAACACAAAGCGCTCATCTTTTAACAACTCAACCTCCTGTCATCCAAATGTTACATTTGATCAGATGTGGTGTTCTCCTGCAGTTGGCATGAGGGTGACACAGGAGCCATTTCCTGTCTTCTGGATAATTTGATAGAAATTTAACTGCCCACATCCTACCCAGATCAAACCTGTATGATCAGGGGATAAAGAATCAGTCTGGTATTAATGGCTTATGTCACAGCACGCAATGGCTTTAAGTCTGCACTTAAACAAACCCCAGGGACATAAATATTTTGCTAAATTAGAACCTGATCCTGGGCCCTGTCTGGCCACAGAAATCATGGGATCAGGCCCGACTTGCCAACAAACGCTAGACAAAGACAAAGCAGCATAAGCAGAAACTGCAGACTTGAACAGTAATGTTGGGGTGATCTTCCAATTCTTTCTGAAAGGAACAGTTTGGATATTACCACAGCCACAGATGATGTGAATTTTTGTCATGGCTAGGAAGGTCCAACTTGAGAAAAGCAATGTCTCTTTGGCAAAAAGACTCCTTCTTTGGAACAGATAAACATGATATATTATAAGTATGTGATAAATATTGTGATGAAGCCATATCCCAGTGGTTCTTAATTGTAATGCAATTGAGATAAATCCCACCAGCATTTCTTATTAAATCCTGAAGCATCAGCAGGGAGATTTCCATATACATGTGGGTGATGAGAGCCTCTGTGATACAATGTCTTTCAAATTATTTATAGCAATTTTGGAAAACAAAACCACACAGAATAAAGAAGAGGGTTTTAGACACTCCCTCCTTCCAAGGGGCAGATGGTTTTGGTGTCTAGGGATGAACAAAACCCCATCATAGTACCTTTGCACAGATGTGTCAGGTCTAGAAACCAGCCACAGCACCTCAAACATCAACACTGTTAAATCTTTGTCAATCATATTTCATCCATGAAGTATTTAATGCTTGAAAAGTTTGGCTCTCACCTCCCTGCATGCCAGCCCAACTCACCACAGCACTCTCATAACAGAGAGGATTCAGAGCTGGATCTCCTGGCTGGCCGCGTGCATTGCAATGGGCTGGAATCCCAGGCCTACATACCAGCAAACTTTTCTGGAAAGAGAAAATAGAGCTCCAGAAATCACTAGTTTGTGCTAGTCTGTGACTAGTTTAATCCCCATAATGTCTCTGGGAAACTGCAAAGAAGCTCTCTCATGCAGAGTGCAGAAGACACGGAGCCATATGACTTGCTCCAGTCCAGCCTATGGCAGGGCCATAAAAAGCCCAAAGGCTCTGAGCTCCAGTCCTTAGTCCAGGCCACATTCTGCTGGAAGGCACAGCAGCTTGAGAGTCTCATCAACCACTTGATTTAACACTCACAAGAGTAAGGAAGATCAAAGCTACGTTTTCTGCCTAATGAATGGCTCATTCTGCACCCAAATGCATCACATTTACCACCTGTGCTTCTATCCCAGCACTGACCTCCCCTGTTTTTGTAGGGTTAGCTCAAACTAGATTTGCTCAGTATTTGCAAGGTTTTTTGGACTGGTGGTGGTGCGGACTGTGTGTCAAGAAGCGAGCTCAGAAAGACCTTACATGCCACGGTTCAGGGAGCAGGAGCCCAGGTGGAACCTGGTGGGAGCCAGGGTGCCAAAAAATCTGTTTATGTCTGAGGCAGTAACATTCTTGCAGGCCAGGGTAGAAATCCAGTATAAAAAGTCAAACTGCTTCAGCACAGCCCCTATGGTGGTGAAGGAAGACTTCTGCTCAATGATGCCACCCTTCTACAAAGAAGGATTCATTTCAAGCTGTGAATTTTGGGAAACTTCCCTGACACTGGTGAAGTTTGCCAACATATAAACCATGTAAGGAATGGAGGTTTCAGACTGGTATTTCTGTATTTGAATTTACCACAGACAGCTGAAGCTACTGAATATCACACTGCTCTTCCAGAAAGGTTAGTGCTAAACTGAAAAGAAACGCACCATATGCAGGAGCTGCAGTATCACATCACAATTTTTCCTTTGTTTCCTATCAGTTCAGCTCATCTAACTTTTCAGCATTAGTGGATATGATTATTCTCTATAACAGAAGCCTGATACAAAGAGGAACGCACCAAATTCTTACTGTTTTTCAGTGGGATGCTTGAAAAAAAAGATCTGAAAAGTTACTCTTGAGAAGTTACATTTTGTCATTTTTATGGTCAATCAGCCTGCGACGGTTTCAGTTCTACTTCTTAATTTAAGTGCAAAGAAAGGTATTTTCCTTGATTACATCTGCAAATAAGATATTAATGTCAATTCAGTGATATGAAAATTACTCCCTCACTATGTAATTTGCACCTTAGTTATTATAGATTTCATGAACAAGACTATTATAGCTGCTCAGAATGCCATGGATTTCTAATTTTTTGATTTGTTTTTAATTAACTAAACTAAAAAACCCAAAGAAACCCTAAACTCATGATCATGTGAAAGAAAAGGATTATCTGTGCCCAGGTTTTATTTACCTTGGGATATATATTGATTCTGGACTGAAGATGAAAATGCTGCTGCTGGCCCAGCACTCTAATGCCATGGATTTGACAGAGGCAAGTTAAAAGTGGCTGGGATGAAAATGGAAGAGGAAAAAAATTGCCTGCTTTCTGGAATGGCATAGTGAAGGATTTAATACCCTCTTTAGCCTTCTTAGGATGAAAACTGAACATGTATTTATGATGATTTTTTTGCTGTTGTTGAAACAAGACCTGATTTTTTAAATTGAAAAATACAAATCACATGTGTTAACATCAGAGAAATGTGTATCATCCCAAATCCTGATTCAATCCCTGTTACTGTTGAAGGAAAATCCTCCCACTGCAATAACAGGAGATGGAAAAAGACTTTATTGCTTGAATGTCTACCCAGAGACCAACACTGCCAGTGGCCCCACTAGAATGGGCTCTGTGAGAGAGTGGTGTAAGATTTTTTTGAGCATCGCTTTGCACTGCAGTTCTATGTAGTCATTTTAATCTTTTTTTAACCACTGGGATTTCAGAAATGTGTTTCCAGCCCCATATCCCTTAACTATCTTCTCAAGGGACATGACTGGCTTATGCCTCTGGTAAATCAAAAGCATGTTGTGTGTAGTGTGTAGTGTGTGTGTAGTGTGTGCAAGCTCACATCTTTTGTGATTGCTCATACATTGTGAATTGGAAGCATCACTACTGAATAAATTTATGCAATAGCTAAGTAGACTTTCATGAGTAAAAGAAAAACACTATTGAACTGGAAGGGAATGGAGACAAGTAAGGACCTAAGAAATGACCAATCTGTGTCCCAAAGATACAAGATCACACCTACACTCAGCTGCAGAACAGTTGCACTGTTTGTGTTAATGCTGGCTCTGCTCTCACACCTTCTAGGACAGTGGAGCTACTTCTGCTGGTGACACAGATCCTATTAAAGTCATCAGCAGACATTGAAGTCCCATGACTTCAATGAGAGCTGCTCAGGTTCTCAAAATAACTTGGGAGAAATAACTACTTCAGCCATCTTTCACCCTCTACCTTCATGTACTTCTTAAGAAACAGGAATCAAAGCATAGTAAGGACCATGTTCAGACCTCCTTATACAGGCAGATAACTTAGGTGCTGTGACCCTTTACTCCATCAGCTGCACACAGAGCAGATGCTCTGACTCACTCACTGCCCTCCTGGACAGTTGTGTCTAAATTAGGTGCCTGTCATGGGTAGTCTGAACATGGCCGCTCAAACTGCCCTCTTGTTCCAAGGCCTTCCAGTTTTACTTTTTTTTCTTTCTTTTTTTTTTTTTTTTTTTTTTGTTTCTTTTTTTCAATAACAGAGATTCAGACCCTAGGCTGGAAAGAAATCATGCAAAGCTTGTGCAATATCTCCCAATGGGCATCCTGGGGAGGGTCACAGTTGATACTCAGAGATCAGTGCTGGCCTTGGCAGTCAGAGCCTGGATCCGAGCAGAGTTGCAGGTCTTGCAGAGGATGTGCCCATCCAGAGGGTAACAGCCCTGATTGTCCCCTTCAGACAGGAGGCCACCACAGTCCTAGGAAATAAGTGAACAGGAAGAGCCAAGTAAATAAGAAAGAACAAGATTAAGCAAAGAATCTATTAGTCAAAGAAACTCTCCTCACTCTCCACCCTGTAACAGGATCCAGCCTGAGTCAGTGCAAAGCATGAAGCTGAGGTACGTGATGTCTTTTACGATTAAGCCATTTTCTGATAAGAGACAATGCTGCAGAGAAGATGGGTTCCCAAGCTCCCTGCTGAATTTAATCCAATTGAAAATAAAAGGAGATTATTCCCTCCACATTTCTGAGGAAGCAAAGGTCTTTAGCATTGGAGAAACATCAAACTAAAGTACATATTTATTAATTCAAAAAAAGGATAAAAAAGAAGTATCACTGAGAAAAAGTTTAGTACCAATATCTGACTATAGGTAATCTCCTTTGGAACAGTTAATGCCATGAAGTTACAGCCTCCATTCCAGGAGTGGCAGCTAAGCAAAGTCCCTTCCTGTCTCCCCTACCAGAACTGTCACCAGTGTTTGCATTACAATTGGCCAAAAAGGTTATGGCAAAAAGGAGGATGTCAGACAGGAACATGGAAACCCCACTCCAAGGCCCCCAAACCTGCTCCAGAGACCTCAGCCTATAAGCTTTAAGGAAGCTGCTAGGAAAGTTGGGAATTACCCCACACTTTGTGATCAAGCAATTGCTCGGCCCAGGACTGCTGATGGATCCATGTGTGTGAAAGCCTGGGTATCTCAGCAACCAGCATAGGGACATGCTGTATGATGAATTAGGCTCTACAAAATTTAGTGTAAGAATGCCCCAGCATCTTAAAAAGTAATGGGCTGGTATGTACCCCGAAAGCCAAGGTCAGATTGAGAATTGGACCAGATGCCTCAAGTTTCAGCCTAGACCTTTAAACCTTAGTCCATCCTTCTTTCCAATTAAGGTTATTAAAACCTGCAGCAGCAATAAGAAATATATTTGGTCTCATTTTCTTATCCTGCCATCTGGCTGATGTATTATCCAACAAGTAACACTAGCACTGAAGAATTCTTGAAGGTTCCCTAACACAGCTGTTCCCACATGCTAATTGCTTTAAGGTGATTTTTATTCTCTGTCTTCAGACTCTTACCATCAAAATTACATGAAGTGTGTAATGAAACTGAACAGGAAAAGTAGCATAAAAAGCACTGCACAAAACAAGAATGATCATGTTTATGTGTCCATTAAAATTCTTCAACCCAGAGCCATATGCTGAGTTTCCTGTACAATCTTGCTCAAATCCTAACATGCATTAGCTTTCATTTTAAGAACATAAAGATGAGCTACGTTTGTGTCCAGGCTATAATTTATTAAGTTCTCCAGTATTAAGACCTAATTGCCTGAGTCACATTCTTTTGCTCTTCTAATGAACCTGTTATAAACAAGGGACCTGATTTTCCTCTCATTTGCGCGAATATAAATGAGGAAAAATTCCTTGCTTGCTGAAGTCAATGAAGTAATTTGATTGTAGAGCCAGTGTTACAACAGGGTATGCCTGGTGTGTGGGCAATGTCAGGTGATGATGAAGTTAAGCCATGCTTAACCTGCTTTCTGTCCCTGCTGTGCCTGGAATACCAACCTCGCACCGGTAGCACTGCACATGGAAGTCACGATCCAGGGCAACAATGCGCACGGTCTCCTCTTGTCCCGGGGCTGGCATGATGGGCTCTTTACACACAGAACACCTCGGGGCAAATTTCCTGAGGAGCAACAGACAGGCACAGTCATCTTCAAACTTGGAGCAAAAGTTTTTGTTAACTGGACCAGCCAGCTAGAAATGTGTGAATTTGCACCAACACACACACACACACACACACACACACACATATGTGCACACACAACACAGGCTGGAGCTCTGCACAGCTCCTTCCTTGGAAAAAACCAGGCAGGAGCACTTTAGTCTTACAAGGCAATTTCAGGCATGTAGGATATTAAAGCACATTTATAAGGAGAGGACTTATAGAAGTTCTGACAGACAGCAGAGCATTTTGCCTGCCCTAATTAACAACTAAAGTGCCTGTTGAATGACCCTCAATTGTGGCACCTATGCACTGCCAGAACCCTCAGCCTCTAAGAAAATCCATGCAAATCCTATGGTTAGAAAGATGACCAGAATCTGCTTCAAGAGCATCTCTTGAAAATAAAAATCAAACTATTAAAATTTGGAGATTGGAACTAATAGTTTAAAATCTGAAAAGAAATGGTAAAAAGAACTGCCTTGCACTAACACTAATTTGTTGAGGTTTATGTCACCCACTTTAAACTTTCAAGCCATCTTAGCCACTTATGCACACAGAAGCACATTTCTGGCTGTGCTCACTCTCAGACAAGAAGCATCAGGGCAATTGACTTGCTGCATCTTCTAGCTAAAACCTACTCAGTTATCCAACAGGGTGTTGTCCAGGCTTAAAAGGGAACAAGTCTGGGTGCAGAGACCCCAATGTTCTCTCTTCCAGTCAGTCTGACTTCCAGCTGTATAATGACAGTAACTCACTGCATGAAGAGACTGACTTGAATCAGGGTCAGCTCAGAGATCACGAGAAGCACAGCCCTTTCTTCTTCCCTTCTATTGCTCACCATATGCCCTTCTGGATAATTCACCCATGTTCTGTATTCCCTCTGGTTTTGCTCCCCTCAGGTCCCACGAGAAGTGGCCACCTCTGCTCCTAGGCTTGGGAACATTTAGCCTGTGGTGAATCGTTCTCTATTTTAGTTCAAAACCTACTGGTACCAGTTTCCTGGCCGCAAATTCTGCCTGCAAAAAAGGAAATTTAGACCCACAGAATCTGCTGCCATGTAATGAGAGCCAGGGTCAGGGGCTGGGAGTGACAGAGGGCAAAGCTTATGGCAAACATCAGAACACAAGGAGATCAAAGGCCCTTCTCTTCTAAATGCCTAGTAAGGATTGACTCTGCCACCCAGCCTGTCACATGAACCACCTCAGAATTAACTATCTTAGAAAAGAAAAAAAATAAAATCTATCTGTACTAGGGATAAAGAAAAATATTAATTTCACTGGCAGCAGATGAAAGATGCCTGTGTAGCTGTGATCTAATGAAAGAATGAATTAAACAGTGGCTATAATGAGTGCTCTGAAAAATAACTTAAATAGATCATGATATGACCGGAGCTGTGATGGCAATTAATTATGTGCTGCTTCATGCAGGCCCTTCCTTGTGCCATTTAGCTCAAACGTGGTACTTAAAAAATACTTCAACATTTCTTTGCCCAGGCTACTGTGAGTAATTCATTATGAGACAAGTATTATCTCCCAGGACCCTGAGATCATTCCTGCAGATTTCAGGGGATGTAGATCTGTTACTGTGGGGCCTGAGCTCAGGGAGTAGCTGAGTAACAGTGTGAGCATTAGCTACAGTTTTGTTATCAAGAGGATGTAGGTGTAGAACACTCAGCCTCCAGATCAGGAGGACATGTCATCCCTAATCAACTAAAACTGGGTTGGCCAAAGTACTGCAAAATGTGTGGCTGGCCAAAGACATTGCGAGTGTCACATTGGGTCTTGTGCTATTCCCATCACTTTCCCCTCAATCCTTCACTCAACAATTTTTATGTCCTTCCTTGCATTGACAGCCTCCCACTTTCTACTCTCAGAGCCCTGAGGTCTGTATGCAGTCACTGCCAAAAGGCTTCAATGTGGGACATCAGCTCTCCTTCTCCTGACACCATGTGAGCCCTTGGCCTGTGGGGCTTTGGGAAGGGGCACTCTCCAAATTGCTGAGGGGGTGTGAGGGAAGTCCTTCAGGTGGTGCGTGAAGCTCCTGTTGGGCCTGTGCTCAGGACCACATTTTACCTTACACACAACTGGCAGCACAGAAAGGCAAAGCAACACAGCAGCTGCCAATTAACCCAGCCTAGCTGAGCTACAGGGAACATCCTCCTGTTGGATTCTAACATGCCAGTTAATTGTGGCTGCTTCCCTTTCTGTCAAGTCAGTCAGCTTCTTTGAGCTTTCAGACCCACACACTGATGTCATGAGGCTCTAATTAAGTCTACCCGCTTAGAAATTAAGAGGTAAATGGTTGAGATATAAACTCACATTTGTCAGTATTGATTTCATCTTTTAATTGAGGGGTGTAATGTATCTGTCTTTTCCATACAGGGCAAACATTTGTGCTCTGATTATATCTACCTGTCTTTCCCTAGATTAGTTGTGATGATGGGGGTGGTAGTATGTCAGTGACAGAAATTACTTGCAGCTATACCTTTCAACTTACTTTAAATAGCAGTTTCACTATAAATTATTACCAGGGCTATATTTTTAGTAGCTTTAGAAAGCTAATTAGCAACTAGAAACAAAAGGAGCTGTGAGCAGCCTGTGGCCACTGAGATCCCTCTAGCAGGTAAGCAAACACCTGCAGAGTGCAGGAGGACAGGACCTCTCTTAATTGCTCAGTGGAAGAGGCAGGGAGGTGGTGCTGTGAAAGTGCAGGTAGAGGCAGTGAAGAGAAACAGGCCCATGCATGGTGAAAAGGCAAGAGGAAGGCAGAGCACTTAAAACAGAGGGACACAGAGGTTATCCCTCAACTCAGCAGAATTGTACCCTAACCAATTAACCTTGTATGCCATGGCTGCTTGGAGCAATGCTCTCCCTACTATTTAAGAGCCTTGGGAGGAAGCGGCATAGGGTTCAGAACTTCCTGAAAGCTCAGTGTGAAAAAGGAGAGATTTTAGGGGCAAAAGACCAATACAACAGGCAAAGCAGTGACAGCAGCTTAGGCCTTACTTATGGAAATCCTCAATGCAGTGGATGTTGCCACCAGCATCCACAGTGAAGGGGATGCCATCCAGGCTGCGGTGGCACATCACACAGGTGAAGCAGTGGGGGTGGTAGGCCTTCCCAGTGGCTCGGAGGATCCTTTCCATGATGGGCTTTGCACAGACACTGCACTGCTCCAGTGTATTCTGCAAAGAAAACATACACAACACATGTGAGCACCATCTCAGCAGGACACTTACAAAGGTCAGCTGGGCTGAAGGCTGCTGCTGGTCTGCTTGGAAGCTTTAGGTACCTTCTTTTCATTTCTTCTAGATAAAGTGCAGTACAGTCAACAGTTATCAAAGAGTATGATAACATGCACAGGGAGCACAGGGCCTGGGTCAAGCCTTTAGAACAGTGTGAGAACACAAACCAGAGCTTCTCTCAGCAGCTCTGACAAGTGATCAGAGATGGCTCATCAGGTGGGTTATCTGAGACACAGCAGCTTCTGTAGCCAGGAGCACAGAAGGAGTTGTGCAGCCAACACTCCTGGGCTTTTGCCTCTGCACTGCCCAGTCAGAGCGAGCTTTTGCAGCAGAGTTCATTAGAGACAAGTTCCATGGAGGGCACTGCTAAACTGAAGTGCAAACTCCTGGGGCTACACAGACACCCCCTAATTACTTTGCCAATGCAGATCCCATAAAAATATCCTTATCTGTCTTGTACAAAGATCTTGATCTTCCTCTCTGACCACAGAGAATACTGCTAAGTCTGGGCAGAGAACAAAGCAGTGGCTGCAAGGAAAGCATCTGCAAGGACAGGAGCTCAGGATGACTTAAATGCTTCATTTATCTCTGACCCACAATGTTTGAGATAATGACTGTGAAATGCCAGCTCTGAGGCCATGATCCTTGCTACACAGGTTTTACATACTAGCCTGCTTCTAAAGTGCTGGAGCCAAAAAAATTCCCACTTTTCAAGTGGGGTCTATTGAATGATTCATCTCATTTCAACCCTCACTTACCCTTGCAGTTAATTATAGAAACACCAAGATAATTTTGTTTCAGATGGTTGTCTGTGAGCCACACCAGCCCTTCTGACACCAACTGGGTAACTCACCATTTCAAAACAAGCACTTTAAAAGACACATGCCATGAATGGATGGTGCAAACCACATAGATGCAAACAATAAATCCGATTCAGGTTAATTTCACTGGACTTTAGAAAAGCAAACTTCACCTACTATTCTTGCTTGATGGACCTGAAGTTATCAAATAATGTTATCAATCACTGTTTGCATCTTGAGTGAGGTAGAAAAATCTATAATTACACTATTGATTATTATTTAGATAGACAGAAATAAGAGGGTAGGAAAATAAAGGAAAAAATCCAACAGGACAGAAATATAGAAAGCTGCTGAGAGGCAAATCTTGTTGACAAACACAGGAAGGCTAAAGTTCTGCTTCCTCATGCAACAAAATTCCCAGAGAAAGCAGTGCTTTGACTGACTGCATTGTTATTGCTTCTTTGAGCCAGTATTCACAGGGGCAACATCCACTCCTTACATGTGCAACCGAAATGTATTGTAAGGAGATGAATCACCCAGGAACTCAGAAGGTTCTACACTCTCATATTTGCTCTCAGACATTATCTCTGGGCTGCACGTCATGAGTAAGGTACAAACATAGAAATACATGGGTTCCTATGAGAGGATCAGAAGAATTGTTTTTGGAAAGGTCGGTATGAAAAGTCCTGAATTTCAACCCGTATGAGAACTGCCTCATGCATTTGTAAGGAGAGCACAGCCAGACTAGCATTGAATACAGGCTGGATTTTGCTTTATACCTTGTAATAATGGGCAGGAAAGAATGACTGCTGGCCTTTCTGTCTGGTTGCTGTCACCATCATCATCATTATAACGGTGGCTGGTATGCCAGAAAAAGCAAGGTCAATAATTTTCTCCATGGAGAAATAACCTGGCAGATTCACCATTTTGCTTTGCATAAGCAGATCACATCATCTCAGTCCACATCCATGCGGTTCTCTGCGTTTTTATGCCAAGGAGGAAAGGCAGGGTACCTGCAGATACTGATGGAAGATTGTGCCGTTTGTGAAGCATTTGCCATGAAATTTTCTGAACACAAGCAGGTATGGAGCATTTGCCTCACCAAGTCACTGCTTGCCTCATTTCCAACAGTTGCCAACAACAGAGGCCAAAGCATAAGAACAGGGTAAGCAAAGCAGAAATTCCTCGGGATTTGCTTCCAGTCTCCATTGATTGCTGGTTTAGACACTTCCTGAGTCAGAGCTTGGCTTCCCCATACTTCGCCTCAACTGGATGCTTCTCCCATAAACCTTCCTGACTGATTTTTGAATTCTGATAAATACTGATCCTCCACAACATGACCAGGAATTCTGTGGCTTACTTCCACGCTGGGGACTGATCTGTTCAGCAGTTCCCCATGTCTGCTACTGCAGCCCACCCAGGACAGTGACCAGAGCAGGCACAAGGGATCAGTACAACCATCCTGTCTGACACCCCGTGTTAACACTGATTTTGGTGGAAACTTTGCAGTGACCACGACAGCAGGCAATCACCCTGCTGGATCACACCTTCTGAAAACACACATCTTCTGCTCCCAAATCTCAGCTTGGCCACAGTTTGACATACTCACAGCTAAATAATACAAGCATTATAAATTAACCAACTCCTGATTAAGCCTTCTATACAGCCTGAAAATCAGACCTGAGAAATTTATTCTTTTCATCCTTCCAAGTCTGTACCAGTAAGGAAAAACAAAGTCATTAGTTTCAGACTCCAGCTCACTCCCTGTCTGGGAGTGTATTTGCTTAAGCCTCTCTCCTTGCTAGAACCCTGGCTGGCTCAGACCCTTCCCTGCAAGGTGTTACCAGATGATGCCAAAGGGAAAGCTTGCTTGATTCACACCCATTTGACATCAGGTTGCTGTAAGGCAGGATTTGGCCTGTGAAGCTACCAGGTTTTCTTTGATTCTCTAATCAGGTTATCCCACATGCCTAAGTGCTGCCCCAGCAGCTAACAACCTGCACAAAGGTATTTCTGCACATTATGGGAACAGCATCCCTGTAGGATTATAAGTTTGGCTTCTTGATTTTGCTCTCTTTCCCAGTCAAACTCTCCTAGCTCCTCCTGGAGCTTTCAGACTTCCAAAAAGTGAAACAAGATGAAGAAAAATGCCTAACAAGTCTATTTTCTTTTCTCTCCAGCTGTTGTTGCAAGCCTGCTCTGTAATCAACAGGTAGAGCTGAAAGCATCTGATGAGCTACACTGAGAGCTAAGGCAAGGCATGAAGAAGAAAGATGAGAAACAGCTAGGAAACATCAGTCCTAGGGGTTGTGGTCACATTCATGTCATAAGAATATAGACCACAAATCTAGTGTGGGCTGAGGGTAAAGTTTACCATTCTTTTCCCATATTTTTGGCCAAGAGGTAGGGAGTGCCCCTGTGTCTCCAAATCCAAACAATTTTTTGGAGGTTTGAAAAGCATAGGGAAGAAGCCATCCATTTCCAAATGGAAGGCTGGCACAATGTTTAAGGCTGAGTCTGGGTCCATGTCTCTTGAGAGCAGAACATCCATGGCAAAGAAAAAGAATCTCACATGGGAAGAATAATGCACCCTAAATACCAAAAAGAAAAATAACTCCAAGCAAAGATACACTAAAACACAAAGAAAGAACTATAATGACCAGGACATCATAATCATCTTGCAAGTTAAAATTAAGAGACTTAAACATGTATAACACAATCAGTGGCAAAGTGGGAACAAGCTGCTTGGGAGCAAGCATCTAGCAAGTGGTGGTTGGAGTTGACCTCCCTAGAGCAATACTTACCTCTTCAGAAACCACAGAAAACCAAAGGGGGTTGCTCTGCAGATTTTAGGTTTAAACATGGGACACAAAGTAAAAATTCTGACTGCTGGGAAAGACTTCTGCGTTGCAAGAGCCAAGGAAGGCTGGAGCTGGGGAGTGTTTGAGTTTCCTCCTGAAAACTTCACATCCCAGATGGTAAGGTGGCAGAAACTTTGGGGACCGGGGGTGCAGTGACAGCCCATGGGCTGCAGCTCATCCCACTGCCCGAATGCTGCAGAGTACAACCCCTCCTAACAAACCTGGCGGACAGCAGTAACTCACAGCATCATGCCAGCACAAGGACTCTCCCACAATGACCCAGCAATGAGTGCAGAAGAAAAGCCACACAGATTAGTCATTGCTTCTTCTGCATTGGCAATTCATCCCAAGCTCTAATGAACATAAATAATGTCTCCTGCACTCTGAACAGCAGACCGAGGAGAGCTCATGCACAGGGACATGAGCATGGTATTGCTTATTTTGCTGGGAGAGGGGAGGGAAGTTGCTGGAATAAATTACATTGGCAACTCATGCACAGGGACACAAACTCACTTTCTGTAAGCACTGCAGAAGAAACACATTTTTCGAAGTGACTGAGCAGAGGAGATGGTTTTGAGCTGCACGAATGAAATGTGACTGTTGTGCTAAAAACAGGCACATGGTCAAATGCTATAGTTGAATTGTAACTTAGTAAAGTGTGGTAAGTGACTTGCTTTAAATCTTGTGACTCGGTCCTTCATTTCCTCAGACAGCAAGGAGAGCAGAGCAGCAGACATTTTCCCCTCTGTGGGATATTTTTTGAGGCTTGAAAATGTTTCCATACTTAAGTGAAGACAGAACACTTTAATCTCAAGAAGCCTGGTGAATTTATAAACCTCAAATTAGATCAGGTCAATTGAAAAACTGCACTTCAAAATAATTGCAAATGGTTTCATTTAGGGTTTGGGTCTGAAAATATATAGTTGTATTATAAATTAAATATAAAGCAGACAGTGGTGGAGGGGTTTAAGTGTCAAGATGTAATTTCAACACTTTCAAACATTTTTTTGGCATTATTTCTAGAAAAGGAAAACCAAGGCTCCCCAGCTGCTATCTCCACAGATGGGTTAAATCTTGGCAAAACATAACATTTAAGTCACTAATAGCCAGCATGAAATTCCTTCCTGCATGTCTGAGGAGACAACTTGGGCATGAGTTAATCCTTCTCACTTCACCTGACCAGCTGGACACGTTATTAGCAGAGAGTGACACTCCCCTTCTAGTTTCATTGGGGGTACTTTCAGCAGGGGAGAGTGCTGCAGAAGCACCTTGGCTGGTT